AGTTTCTGTATGTCTGGGTAACTGCCAATCTCAACTGGTAGAGTGATGGATCATTCGGCCTCTACCGAATCCCCTGTAAAACCGGCGAGTGGAGTTTTGACGGGATTCAGCTGATCTCGGGCCAACCCCATTTTTATGAAGGTCTCCAGGTATAGCACATTAACGCTGCTCTCGGTATCAACCAGGATTCGGCGAACGACTACCCCCTTGATATCCATGGCTATAACCAACGCATCTCGATGCGGCGTCTCTCCAGCCGGTAAATCTCTATCGGTGAAAGTGATGGGCTCTCGGCACGCCTTCTTGGAATTCTCCTCGCGCCCATACACTGTCCCGACATACAGCTGTCGGGCCCAGGCCTTCCGAGTGTTTGCCGAGTCGCCACCTTCCGGCCCGCCGACTATCATGTTGATAACCGGCTTCTGACGCCACAGAGCCTCGTCTTCTTCAGAAGCTGGCTGCTTGCCCCGATTGCTCTCGGCGGTGACGGCGGGATCCTCGTCCCCTCGATTGGCCGACCTCCGCCTCCATTGATTAGGAGGCGGGGTTCCTTGCTGGATGATACCCTCCATGATCTTCTTCAGGTAAAAGCATTCTTCTGTGCTGTGGGTATAAGATTTATGGTAACGACAATATTTAGAGGTCTTACCCGTCTCCTCGCTCGTAGCGCGGTCATCAATCGGCCGAGGCGGAGGAGGGGCGACCGCTTGTATTTCATGCACCGGCCGTTCGGGAGCCGGCCGGTAGGGGTGTACGACGGGCCTGTCGTATGGTCGCCTGACTTCGGGTCGTCGGGTCGCATCCGGGCGCCTTTCCTTGGTTTTGGCTCGCGTTCTCTTTCCATTGGCAGACCCGCCGACTTCGCGCTGCCGTTTGTGTTTCATAGCCTGCTCTGTGTTGGCCCTCTTATTGGCCATATGAATGGCTTCTGCGTAGGTAGCCGGGCGGTTGTCCCGCAGATCTCGGTATAGCTGACCGGACCGCAGGGACTCGATGAAGAAGGTGAGTGTCGTCTGGTCCTCGACCTCCTCTATAGACTGGATTTCTTTCTGCCAACGGGCCAGATAGGTTTTTAAGGACTCGCCTTCATCCTGATGAATGTCGCCTAGATGTGTCAGGTCTTTTTGTTGTCTGATATTAGCGGCATAGTGGCTCATAAAGCGGTCCGCTAGCTCTTCGAAGCTACGAATCGACCCTGGCGGCTGCGCCACTAGCCACCTTTGTGCCGGGCCTTTTAACGTGGGCAGAAAAGAGCGGCACATGACCTGGTCTCGAACTCCCAAGACCCGCATCTTGGCTTGGTAGCTCAGCAAATGCTCTTGAGGGTCGCCGGACCCATCGAACGTGGCTTGCTCCGGGAACTTGAAATCACCCGGTATCTTAAAGGCCATGACCTCGTCCGAAAAGAGCAAGGCAGTTAATAATGTACGTCCTGGGGATTTGGTTTTTTCCTCCACTTGCTCTTTCAGATTTCGCACTTCTTGGACTAAGTTCGCCACTTCGACCCTCTCCCGGGTATGGTTTCCTGTTGATTCCGTGCTCTCACCGACCTCCGACTCGGCCGGTTGGTCGCGGTTGCGGACAGGCTGCTCTATGCGGCGAGCCTCAGTCCTGGTTCTTCTGGTACGGTTTTTCTCGCGTGCAGTCTGCCGATCGCGAGCGGCTGACGGGACACGACTGGGTTCCCTCCGACCTAGCCGTTCTCTCGTCGACCGCCGCCCGGCGCTCGGACCCAGCCGAGAATGAATGGACTGTACCGGCTGGCTCTCGGCTCGGCGGTTCCGTTGCCGGTCATCGGGCCTATGAGACGGCTGCTGATTGCGTTGTGGTAAATGAGTGACGGACTGTTTTCTTACTCCTCGGCTCGCCTCGTCGAAGGCACGCCCGATCTCATGTAGTTGCTCTGGGGTGAGCTGCACCTGAGGCGGCTGTTGGTTTATCGGTGGTGTTGGCGGCGGCGTTGTCTCGTTTTCCCGGCTCCGAGTGTTTCTCCGATTCAATTGGTTTCTTAAGTCCGCCCCCAGTCCGTTATCGTGTTCGCTTAACTGTTCCTGACTTCCTGCCATGTTAAGAGCTTTTCTGATCTCTTACGACCGAGATTCTTCTTGTCGTTTCTTGAACTCGCCTCGCTCAAGAGGACACGCGACTCTTAGTTTCGATCCCCACAGACGGCGCCAGTGATGGTTTTTGGGTTTTCGGGCCCAAGGAGGTCCAACACAACCTTTAGCTGGAGGATACAACTTTCAATAAAATGTGTATTTGAGTGAAACAAAGTACTTGTTTAGAATTGGTCTTACTCCCTTCTCCAGGTATTTTCCTGTCCCCCCTTTTACAAGAGTGGAGGAGCCTTTATATAGCAGGCTCCTCCCCCACTGACTTGAAAGCCCTTAATGGCCGACTTCAAAGCTAATTAAAGCGCCGAGCCGTTGGACATCATTACTAAGTCGGCCAACGGCTCTCTCAAGCTTGTAACAGCCTGATCGAGTCCTGCTTTTAATGTCCTAACGGCTCCTTTTTTAAACGAGTCTCTTCAATGCTCTCAACGGCTCCTTGAACCGAGTCTTTCCTCGGGCTCGGGCCCTGGTCGACTCCTCGTCCCGGCCCAAGCCCCCACTGGGCTCCTCTTAGCAGTTCTGAGCTAGATCCCCATGCTTGGGCCTGGGCCGACTCCTAGACTCGGCCCAAGCGCCCTCCGGGCTCCTTTTGACGCTAGCCCACCTTTCCTATCTCGGACCCTCTTCTTTGGGCCAATCTCTCTTGGGCCGGGGTCCTTACCCCATCATGCAGATAAATAATTAAATTAATATGGTAAAGGTGGATACCTAATTTTGATTAGCGTTCACAATATGCATGATGGACCTTTGTCATCCACAATATAATGATAGTATATCACTACTCATTTTTCAAAAATTTTGTCTTTATTTTTAAAATTTTCATTTCTTTAATGTAAAGAGAAAATGACATTTTCCCCCCTGAGTTATATGCTTATAGCATTTTTTTATCCGAGTTATTCGTGTATCAACATTTGCCCCCTCAGTTATGTTAAAAGTGACGCTTTTTCCCATTTTATTGTTAAATGGACATTTTTACCCTTAAAAATAAACATTTCATTTATTTTTATTTTTCAACAAATTATTGCTTATATGTAGGGATGAGTCCCCGGTTCGATTCAAACATAACCGGACACTGTAACAATCGAATCAAAACAGTAAGGATGGTTTTGATTACGATTCAGAACCGAAATAAAATAAAATAGAATAAAATAATTGTTGAATTTAGGCTATTTTGACAATAAGAAATAGAATTTACATAAATAAATAAATAAATTTTGAATTAACGGTTCAAAACCGAAACCAGAACCGAACCGAACTTATTTATCATTTACCAATAGTGTTTGATCATTTTCACATTTATGTTAATTCCACATAAATAGATATGACTGTGGTTCGGTTCCAGTTCACGATTCTGGAAAATGATAAATAAAAATGGGAACCTTTTAGGAAGGTTCCAGTTTCGATTTTAACCGCCGATTCGGTTCTGGTTCACGGTTCTTGGAAATGATAAATCGGAATGGGAACCTTTTAGGAGGTTCCCGTTTCGATTTGAACCTCTAGTTCAAAATTTACTTATTTATTTATTTATTTTTGTAAATTCTATTTCTTATTTTTCAAATAATCTAAATTCAACAATTATTTTATTTTTTCCGATTATGAATTGTAACCAGAACCGTCCCTATTGTTTCGGTTCGATTGTTACAACGTTCGGTTAGGTTCCAACCGAACCGCGGTCATCCATACATATAATTGATATAAGTAATAATTTGTTGGAGAAGAAAAATAAATGAAATACTTTTTTTAAGGGTAAAAATGTCCATCTAACATAAAAGGGGGGAAATCGTCACTTTTAACATAACTGAGGGGACAAATGTGGATACATGAATAACTCAGGGGGAAAAAATGTTATAAGCATATAACTCAGGGGGAAAAGTGTCATTTCCTTTTTGTTACTAATAAAAGCACTCTTGCGTTTTGCACAAACACCCTCTTACCATAGGAAAATATTATATAGACTCTCATTCTCTATCCACACTCAAAATCTTTTATTGGGACCTACATGAACAAATAGCTTATCAATGTCCGCCACATTAGAGAGAGATTTGGAAGTACGTGTAATAGAACTTCTTACAAGATACTGCCAATCATTATACCATGGATAATGGTCTATCTTGCAAGATGGACTACTAGCATAAGGTTCATTTTTAGTATATTAAAAGTTCATTTTCAATATATTGAATGTTCATTTTTAATATATAGGAAGTTCATTTATTAGTATACTACCTATAAATAAACCTTCAACTTATTAAAAATAAAGAAAAAATTTCACTTTTGGTCCTTTGAATATTATACATGAATAACATTTGGTCCTTACCAATTAAAATTTTATAATTAGGTCCATGAGTATGCAATTTGTATTACTTTTAGTCCTACCGTCCAATTTCTCGGCCAATTATTGCCTGGAGTGCTCTTTCTGCAAGAAACAAATGCAATACTCCTTCCAGAAGTGAAATTTGACAACAAAACCAAATGTGATACAGATTACATACATAGTCATGCACTTAATTAAAAAAATTTAATAATCAATGACTAAATATGATTCATATATAATATTCAAGGATGGAATGTGAAATTTTCTCAAAAATAAACCTTTTGTTAAAAATAAACATTTATCATTATAATGATTCATAGTGTACAGTATAATTTGTGATATACTGCCACATGGGGCATGGTATTTGCGTGCAGTGGGCCACATTGTTATCTTATCGACGATGGAATCTACAGAAGAGGCGATCAAATGGCTAAGAATACTCGAAAGCAGGGGCAAACCAGAGGACAGCAAGTGTCATGACACGTGTCACGTAGCAGCACACGTGGTAACACAAGAACAAGCTCCCCTATCTATATATGGAAACGGAAGCTGAGAATCAACGATCACAACATCATCATCGTATTCACTGTAATCGAGAGAGAGAGAGAGAGAGTGTGTTCGCATATTCATCTTCAATTCATCGCAAACATACACCATCAGTTCGTGAAACTCAAAGAGGCAACAATGGCTTCCCACGAACAAACCTACCGAGCTGGTGAAACCAAGGGCCGAGCTGAGGTACTATGTTTTGCTCTCATCTAATAATTTTATGATTATTAACGCAACAGTCTAATTTACTTGATTAGATTGTTCCATATTAGTATTACCTAGTTGGGTACTATGAATTGTAGGAGAAGACTGGTCAAACTATTGAAAGCATGAAGGACAAGGCCCAAACAGCGAAGGACAAGGCTTCGGGCATGGCGCAGCAGACGACGGGCAGCGCCGGCGAGAAGACTCAGTCGGCGAAGGACAAGGCTTCCGACACGGCCCAGAGTGTGAAAGAGAAGGCTTCCGGCACGGCCCAGAGTGCAAAAGAAAAGGCTTCGGGGACGGCGCAGAGTGCGAAAGAGAAGGCTATGGGGGCGGCGCAGGTGACGAGGGAGAAGGCGGCGGAGATGACAGAGGCGGCGAAGGAGACTGCGCAAGCGGGGAAAGAGAAGACCGGTGGGTTTCTGCAGCAGACGGGGGAGCAAGTGAAGAGCATGGCCCAAGGGGCAACTGATGCAGTGAAGCATGCGTTTGGAATGGCTGAGACTGATGAAGATAACCCCAACACTACCAATACCAATACCAATACCAGGAAAATTTAACTCTTCTCTAGCTGTGTTGTTTTACTTTAGTTTGAGCAGGGAAGAGGATCCTTTACTGTAATATGGAATAAGAAGAAGAAGAAGAAGAAGATGATGCACCTTTCTTTTAAAGATCGACATGTCAAAGTCTATTTTGAGGGTGAAATAAAATGTTCAAAAAAAAAAAATCTTTGGAGCTTATCTTACCCTTACTCTGCAAGTTCCCATGGCTGATCGAAGTTGATAAAAAGCAAAGTGGTTTAATTAATATTTATAGGAGTTAATTTCAGCAATGTCCTCCTATTATAATGATTTATAAAATTAATTCTCAAACTTTAATTTTCTATTATAATGATTTATAAAATTAATTTTTGTTTCTTGATTTTTAATTTTTTTCAATTGAGGTCCTTTCATCAGATTATGGTGCAATGGACTTTAAATGAAAATGTAAAATAATCATTTCAATAGTTTAATGTATAATTTTTTGTATTTCTCTTTGGTATACGCGACTTTGAAAATCAAATTCACTTATTTGCTTAATCTCTAAATTTATTCGAAGAACAAAATTTCATTGGGAATTAAGCAATTAATTGAATTTGATTTATGAAGTCGCGTATACAAGGAAGAAATACAAAGAATTATACATTAGACAAATGAAATAACTATTTTACCTTTTTATTTAAAATTCACTTTACCGTAATATTATGAAAGGGCCTCAATTAGAAAGAAATTAAAAGACAAGAGACATAAAGTGTTAAATTAAAATCAAGACTAATTTTAAAAAATCAATATAGTCAGAGGACCATTGGAATTAAGTCATAAAGTCATATTTATAGTACAGTGAGATAGATTCAATTCATTGACAATTCTCTTAGCTCCATGGTCCATTTGCTAAAGTAGTTAATAAAAAGGGATTGGTTAATGATAAAGAAATTAAAATGACATTTGTAAATAATGGGATTATATTATACATCATCTTACACTTAGAGATCAGAAGTATATGATGAGTGAGCTGGTTATTGGAGAGGAGATTAACAAGACATCAAGTAATTAGATTGTTTATATAGGTGATTGGCTCCAGGCCAGTTCAGGTTTCAATACACTATTCTTACGAGAAATGTTAATTACTAGTTACTCCTTATAAATTTTATTTTTATATTTTTATGAATAAAAGTACATATATGGTGGACTATGTAAAAGCCCCAAATCTACCATTCTATCTACCATTCTAATAAGAGTCAATAATGTTAGACATTTAACGGGAACAAAAAAAATGTCAATAGTATTACTCCCTCTGATCTATTTCATTTTGCCTGTCATGTTTACTATTCATTGGTCAATCCAACACTTTCTTCATTGCTTATTTTCTTTAGTAATTTTTAATTATTTTTAAATTTGATTTTTTATGTTCAATAGTACTTTTAATGTAGTTTCTAAATATATAAATTTTATATACTAAAAATAAACTTAATATTATGAAAAATTGAAGTAAAAATAGATTCAGTCAAGCCTCGTTAACCGAATCAGACAAACAAAATGGGACGGAGGGAGTATTTTTTTAAAAAAATGAATGATTCATATTATTTTGATTTGGGTGTTGCTATTTGCTCATCCCCTTTTTGGTCAAAAGTGGTATAAAGTATCCTTGAAATTGTGAAAATGTGAAACTTCAGTAATTATATAGGTGGTGTAAATAACCGAACGGAGGTTCATTTTGCTATTTGCACTATCTTGGTCAAACCTCATTTATGAGGTATAATTAATAAATTTATAATTCAAAATTTAATTACAAAACATTAAATAAAAAATAAAAAAAAAGTGGAAGAAGAACCGTCACCTTCTCCGGTGAGAAGGCAAGGGACTGCCTTCTCACCGGAGAAGGTGACTTTTTTTTTAATTAATATTTTGATTGTTAAAAAAAAGTAGATAATAAATATTAATCTTTGACCATATTTAATGATGGTGGTGCAAATAACACTTTTCTATTTGTACCACCTATAAAATTATTACACCTATTAAATAGGTGGTGCAAATAACAAAATAGGTGGTGTGAATAGAATTTCCCTTTGATTTTAGTAATTTTTTAATGATTTTCCTTATTTACCCTCTATTATATTATTTTCTTCCCTTAAATAACCTAAATTTCGTTAGTATTGATGTGTATAAAATCACTGTAGTTGAGTACAGTAGAATATTAGGTTGACCGATCGTATAACATGACCGGGAGCCTCTTCAAATGTCTAGTCTAAGGTAGGTGAAAAGTCTTACCTCAAGGCAATAAATGCGGTATTTATAAAAGACCTAGGGAGCGACCCCCGGCCTTTCGGCATGTCGGGCACGTGGCGTTCATGCACCGGGTTTTGAGGAGGCGAGCATGCAGTCGTACATGTGGCGCATGTCTTCCGACAGCTACAGGGCCCCGATCTGACCGATCATCCCTCTCGGGCATCGGCCACCAACGGTGGGAGAACTCCAAGATGTCGGGCACCATAGGGATGACCGGGCAACCGGGCAGAAATGGGAGAGTGCCGTTGACCTGGCAGGATGACCTTGAACGACAGGTATGAAGATAGACGAATGGGTGACCGGTCGGATCTGGAGCGTACTGTTGACCGGGCTGGATGACATGTACGTGCAAGGTATAATCCCCATCACATAGTCCTCCCAGCCTAGAGCCCGACGTGGGCCTTCGAGGAGGGGTTTGGGATGAAAGACAACTTGGCCGGCAGGATGACCTTGAACGACAGGTAGGGAGATAGACGAATGGGTGACCGGTCGGATCTGGAGCATACTGTTGACCGGGCTGGATACGTGGCCCTTCGAGGAGAGGTATAATCCCCATCACATAGTCCCCCCAGCCCAGAGCCCGACGTGGGCCTTCGAGGAGAGGTTTGGGATGAAAGACAACTTGGCCGGCAGGTGAACCACTGAAGCATTCCGACAACTCGACCGGTTCAGGTAACGTCGCGTACAAGCCTTGCCACGCGTCAACCATCCACGCGCCTCGGGATCCGGGCCTCGCATGCGTTTTTTGAATTCTGGTTTCCCACCTCCGCCTTCCTATAAATAGAGGCCTTGGGGTCCATTTGTGTACTTTTTCACTTGACTCAGAACCAGAGAATCCCGACCGCCGCTTTTGCCTAACCGGGTAGATCGACCGTCACCACCGACCGTCTCAACACTTGCTATCATCCTTCAAAAGGTAAGATCCAGTTTCCCCTCTTTCCTTATAACTGTGTAGTTAGTTTTACGCTCCACAAGCCTCGTCCCGGGCGTCTTTACTGAAACGCCCCCCCCCCCCCCCCCCCCCTCCACTTTCTCTTAAAAGAGAGGATGTCCAGCTCCGATAGCCAGAACTTATCGGGCCGAGACTACGCCACCGGGGCCGAGTCCGGCTCATCGATCAGCTCTTCACGGGACACTACTACTACTACTAGCGAGTTCATCGACCACTATACAGAAGCCCGCTCACGGCACGTTTTAGTCGAGCGAAGCCCCCCGGGGGAAACCCACGCACGGGACAATCAGGAAGAGGGTGGCTCAGAGGTTAACCGGGACGAGGGCGAAACAAGCGAGGTCCGGGCACCCCGCTCGGTTGAGGCCGGGACGTGCAACAAGGGAAAGTCGCCTCGGGTAATCTATAGCGAGCCGTCAAGTTCGGGGAAGTTTCCTCGAACAATCGTCGGGGCCCCCCGTCCTGACTTTTCGCCCACCTCGCGCGATCGGCTTGTCGAGAGTCTTAGAGATCCGATTCATACACCTTCCACCGTCCCGGTTGCATCGGCGTCCGGGCTCAATCTGGTCTTCCTGAACAACGAGGTGGTCCGACGACAGCATAGTATTCTTACCTGGGCCGAGGCGAAGGAGATCTCGTCTCTGTTAGGCGGGAAGGTCGTCTTCAACACCGACCAGGCGCTCGGGATCGTCATCGACAGGACCACCCGGGATTGACTCTGGATGCACTACGACTCCCTGAGGGCCCCGTTAACCTTCCCATTTAGGCCCTTCCTGCTTTCTTTCCTCGAACACTACGGGGTGCTGCCCGGGCAAGTCACACCGAACGCACACCGCATCGTGGCGTTCTTCCCATAAATCTGCGCCCGGCATGGTCTTGCCTGCGCTATGAAGTTGTTCGATTTTATCTACTCTGTCCGGCCGCTCGCGCTGAGATATGGATCCGGGTACTTACAAGCTCAGCCGCACGACCATCTTTGCAGCATTCTTCACCTCCCGGATAACAACCGAGGGTGGAAAAAACGGTTGTTCTTCGTCAAATACATCTGGGGCCTTCCGGTACCCCGGGAATGGGCCACCCACTACCTCGGGCAGATCACGCCGGACGAGACTCCCGAGCTCGCGGATGCTGTGACCAAAATCTTCTCCGAGTTCTACGATTACCATATCTTCAAGACTCCGAAAGCCTTCGCTGCATCCCGCCTCGAGCCTCCCAGATATGATCTGCCCGAGAAATACGAACCTAGGCAGATCTCGATCACCGTAGCCGTGCCCCCGCCCCTTTCTCAGGGCGCGACCGGAGGTTTCTGCAGGACGCTTTGCTCACTTACCCGGCCATCTGTACTTGTACTCACTTATTTCATTTTTCTATTTCAGGTATGGGCTTCGACAAGGGCTTTATGGCTGCGCCGACATCCTCCAGCGGTCCCTGGCCCAAGATCACCATTGGCGGGAAGAAGGCCCGAGCCTCAGGGCAAGAAACAGCGTGCTCAACCATTCCATTCGGTCTGCCCCTCGATGTAACATCTGCCAACCCGGCCGCCTCCGCCTCCGAGCAGGATTTGCAGGTTGTCTGGGTCCAGACCAAGCGGGGGAAGGACAAGAGGACGGACACGGAGGTCGAGGAAATCCCTCCTCTAGAGGTGGCCCCTTGGCAATTCCAACTAATGACCTTTATAAGGAAACAAAAACAAAAGGAGAGCCCAGAAAGGAGAAAGAGCAACTCAAAGATCCAAGGCAGCAGTGGCCGACGTCGTCGGCCTGTCAGCAGGAGCCATCTCCGACAACGAATCCACAAATTCACCTAGGTCGTCTTCATCCATGGCAGTGCCTAGGGGGTCTTAATGGTGAGTTCCGTCATTCTCCTGCGTGGACATCTCCTCCACCTCGTGACCTTCCTCTGATATTGTGGTTCTGGTGATGCGGTTCCCCTTATCACAGCCTTGGACTACAATGTGTCCCTCGGTGTCCCTTACCA